ATTCTACTGTTTGAGAATTAGAGTAATAGTCGGAAAGGGAGAAACTTATCTAACTTCATTAAACGCATTAAATCACATTAAGTACATTAACATATAATTTCTTTTGGGAGCAATTCGATTTTATTTATTGTGTTAAGGTTTCACTTTTTGATTTCATAACAAAAATTTGTATTTATTTCATTTTAAAGACCATATATAGCTGATTTTTACTTGAATAATAATAACACATACTATTTTCATATCACTAGCACGTTAATTTTCGCGCAAATTACGATTTCTCGATTCTGATTGGTTCATTCAAGGCCGTTGTTAAATTGTAGTTCTGTTGAAAAAAACTTCCAAAATCAACCCAATCAAACATCACCGTAAGTTAAAAATCGAAAGTATATATGTGCAAAATAAAAATTGTTGTTTTTTTGACATGATAGATTAGTTTGAAACAAAAAAAATGTGTGGTTGAAAATTTTTCGACCACATATTCAACATCTTTTGGAACATTTAAAGTCATCAATTGTCAGTTTGAAAATTTGATGGAGTCATTATTTTCAATTGGAATTACGGAGATGAGTGTTTTTATTTTACACATTTTTGAAATCATCCATCAATCATTGTTAGACCACCGTTAGAAACCTGCAAGCACTGGACAGCCATCTCGTCCTGGTATGGGACTCATCAGAGGTTAGGCATTCGCGCACAATACCGAAGGTCACGGGTTCGAATAATGCGAGGTGTAGGAGTCGTGGACGCGCACTGCTGATGAGTCTCATACCAGGACGAAACAGAGTCATTATTGCTTTCCACCGTTGTTCTACAATCTTTTAACACAGAACGCACTACTTACGAGTAGTATCATCTTATGAAATAAATTTATACAAATTGGAATGCTGTTTTTCTTGTCAGTTGGCAAAACAATCTTCTCTAATTAAAAACATTCTACCATAAGTATATGATGAGAGGAATTCTGAACTGTAAACTAATTCTATTTTTCAAGTATTAATTATTGAACTAATTAATTTGTAATTTTATTTTCAAACTGTTTTTTTTTCCTATTTAAAAAACAATTTTAATGACTATTTTGTAAAGAAATAAAATGAAAATAATTTTTAAAATAAAATTTGAATTTCAACTGTTTTGTTCATCTCATTAGAAAGCGAAAACACGCAATGTAAATTAAGGAATAGAACAACGATTCACCTTGGAATCTTATCAATCACTGCATGTACGACTTTATACACAGAGATACAAATGAATCAACCGATAAGTAAATTTTTACAGATTTAAATCATCAGTCGATTATTGTTAGACCAACATTAGAAACCTGGTAGCACTGAATAACGGTCATTTCGTCCAGGTATGAAACTCATCAGTAGTGCGGATCCATGACTAACGCTACCAGCCGGATTCGAACTTGGGATCTTCGGTCTTGTGTGCGAACTCTCGACCTCCGGAACACTTGGGCGGCACCCAAAGGTGCTGACGCCTAACTCTGATCAGTCTAGGGATTTCGCCTCATTTGTCTTCGGTAGTTAGTGTCTACACTCGACAGGGTTGAAATTCTTGACTTCTTGTATTAGAAGTTTGCGCTGATGATGATTTTGTGTTTAACAGAAGAAGAACAATGAAAACGCCCCACAACCAAAATAACATTCAGCTCAGAGAATGCAACTTCACCATGATCATTCATTTATCTGAGCTACAAATTCTCTTCACCTTCTCAAAATCATATGGGCGTGACAAGGGAAGTGTTGTAAAATGCAATTTTATCGAAAATATTCTTTCTTACAAATAAGAAGCAATATTATTGATTATGTAGTGTGTAATATGTAATGACGTATAGAGTAGTTCACGTTTGGTGGCCCACGCTTGCTAACTTTTGTATTTATAAGCATATTTTGGGGCACAGTTTTGGAGGTTTGCGTTTTTACACATTTGAAATCATCAATCAATCATCGTTAGACCATCATTAGAAACCTGGAAGTACTGGACGGCCATTTCGTCCTGGTATGGGACTCATCAGCAGTGCGCATACACGACTCCTGCTACTCGCAGGATTCAAACCCGGGACCTTTGGCATTGTAGGCGAACGCCTTACCATCGGACCACTGGGCCGACATCCAACAGTGTTAATATCTAACTCTGATTGATCTAGGGATTTTGCACGACCTCACCCATTTGTCTTTGGTAGTTACTGCCTACACCCGACAGGGTTGAACTGCTGATGAGTCTCATACCAGGACAAAACGGCCATCCAGTGCTTGCAGGTTTCTAATGGTGATCTAACAATAATTGAGTGGTGATTTCAAATATTTATAAACAGTTAAATATGCTATGAAATAAATCTTTTATTCATTTTCCGTATATAACCAGTTTTTAGGTTAACCCAGTCTGTATAACGGCGGTAATGAGAAGAAGAAGCCAAATACGAACTCGGTTAGATGAATTTATTTCAGGCAATCGTGTTCATACAAAGCATGAAAGCAAAGCGAGGCGAAGCGGATAAGCCCAGCTAGCCAACTCTATATGATGAGTCACGACTAGGCTTTTACAGTCAGACAACATAAGCAAAACATGTAATCAGCAAAGTAAGCAGCGCATAAACATACTCAAGGAACAGCAATCAAGATATGACTGAATGAATGACAAAGTCAAAAAGCATATGAATAATGCCTCGAGAAGAATGAACTAATCAAGTTGTCCATAGAATGAGACAAATCCTGTGGGTTCCACATAAAACTACACACAGTACACATTTAAATAAATTGAGAATTATTTTTCTTTGTCATTTTTTAAAGTAGTAAAATAATAGACTCTGTCTAAAAATAATTTTTATACCGAAAAAATCTTAAGACTTTTTTTTCAGGTAATCTTTTCAAACGATTTTTGAAATGTAATCGTTTGTTTTTGTTGTTGATATTTACAGATTCAGTTAATTTTTTAATGAATATGACATTTGTGAGATCGATTTGAATTTTATTCATAAACAAGTTTATTTCAAATAGGACACACATTGGGAAAACACTTGAATATGTCACAAGGCAAGCCCTCGACTCGATCACCACTAAACATTTAAGGATAAAGGAAAAGAGGAAAGCAACGGAATATATTACACCGAGAAATGCAGACATACATGAGAAGAATGAACAAAAGTTGGACAGAACTGGAAAGGGACGCCCAGGATAGAGTAGGTTGGAGAATACTGGTCGGCGGCCTATGCTCCGTTCGGGTTAACAACAGGCGTAAGTAAGTAAGGAAGTTAGTAATATATATATATATACACTAGGTATCACCATAGGATTATGAAGATTGAAATCATGAGTTGATCAATATCAGACTACCATTAGAAACGAGTTGTCCATTGTCAGTTTAAAAATTTGACAGCTTTCAGTTAATTTGAGTTTATTTTCATAAGAATTACGTAATCTTAGGTTGTTGTTATTATTTAAGCCACCTTATGTAGTATTAGTTATTTTGTTTATAATTGGTTTGAATTTTACCAACAAAAGGGATCTGTTTAAAATTTTGTGTCTGCAAACATTTTCATAAAGAACGTTTTCGACATGGTGGATCAAACATTTCTGGTTCAGGTGAGTGTTTCGATCTTCGCGTTGGATTTTTTTTTGTTGTGGAATTTTTATACCGTTCTTCTGCTGAATACAACAACATTAGCACCAGCTTAAAGAAAGAAGTGAAGTATCTGAATTTCTCTACGTGTATGACTCGTACCTTGTGTTTGATTGTGTTACGAATGCATATCAACATGTCATTTGATATAATTGAACTAATACGAATTTACCTTAGTCGGAAAACGAGACCGAGAATCGAGGATCTGATGACATGACAGGCTATTGTAATCCAATTGTCCCAAACCCCTATCGAGTAAAAGAAGAAGACTTGATATGTAGTAGAACCTGTATTTTACAAGCATCCAAAAAGTACGAGATCCGATTCCAGAAGAGAATGAGGATCTCGGACTAGGGATTCGGGTCCGGGTCGGGATCATACAACGTTACAGATAAATGCGTATTTATACACTTAGGTCGAACAGAAAAGAACATTGAAGTATGTGACATTGATAGATAGGACGATCATAAACTTGACCAGTAGGAATAATTGACCAATAGAATCCTCTTAGGATATTTGATGAATCTCCTAACAGATTGTATCAAATTAAAGAAACAAAAACAACAACCATTTCAAGGTCGATTCCAACCAATCCATACCAAGGTCAGCAGGATACGCTATGAGATATACACAAGGAGAAATGCGAATACTTCACTTCTATTTGAAGTTTGAGCTGAGGATGTTGTTGTTGTTGTTGATCAGAAGAAGAATTACAATATAAAAGCTCCTCAACAGAAAACATTCTCATTCTCAAGCAAAAAACGGAAACATTTATCAAAATTCATGAGAAACTCCATTGAATATGTTTTGATTGTCATCAACTGACACAAAAATATTAATTAGGATATATAGAAATCTTTTCTGTGAACTGTAATTCACATGTAGTAAACTTGTGGTGCGCACTACTTATAAGTAGTATATGACGTGAGTGTCAACGTAATGTCTGGCAGCAGAAGATGGGCGGGGAAGATCAAGAAAGGAAGAGTTAGAAGAACACAATGGAATTTGAATGAAACGCATGAATAGTGACAATGGATTGATGTTTTGCAACAGGAACAATAGGCCAGTTCGATAGGATGCACTGATATTTTGCAAATGAACAATTTACGATATGGTTTTCCGATTTTACTGAGTAACTCTGTAATTTTCGTTAAGTACAATTCGGTTGCTCTCACCTGTGTTCTCGTTCACTACAAACTAATTATTGATTTATCAATTATTATTATTATTATTATTATTATTATTATTAAGAATAAAGAAATATTATACACATATGCCGAATCTCACCACCACCGTTCATCATTCATTCATCATCATCAACAATGATAATTAATAGCCAGTGTAAATATAAAAAATATTTATGTTTTTTTCTATCTAACCTGTCACGTGGTTTCTGTCTATCTTCTAATACTTGTGGATCTAAAAAGAAAAAAAGAAATAAAAACAACGAATTTTTTTGTGATCAATGTTCAATGATGAAATTGGTACTGATTATTATTATTTGTTGAACTATTGATTTAATTTAGACATTGATCGATTCATGGTTTCAAAAAATTGGTGTAACTTAACAATTTTCACAACCTCGTAATGTAAATTACCTGTGCTCACTAGTGACTAGCTGAAGTGAGGAATCATCTCCGAGTTCTAGTGGGAAGACGTTGTGACCAGTGAAGTTCAACCTGTTCGGGTGTAGACAGTAACCACTACCGAAGACTGTGTATGAGGTTGCGCAACTCCGTGAATTGATCAAGTTAGACATTAACACCGTTAGATAGCGGCTCAGTGGTCCAGAGGTTAGGCGTTCGCGCACAATACCGAAGGTCCTGGATTCGAATCCTGCGGGGTGCAGGAGTCGTGGATACGCACTGCTGAGGAGTCCCATACCAGGATGAAACGGGCGTCCAGTGCTTCCAGGTTTCTAATGGTGGTCTAACATTGATCGATTCATGGTTTCAAAAAAATGTGTAACTTAACAATCTTCACATCCCCCTAATGCATATTTAATTTAGGTTGTGTTTTTATTTTTTCTGACTATTTATTCACTGGATATAAAATGACATATTAAGATTACTGTGTAATTGTGTGATTATATATTTTATTTCATTGATTAGCTTTAACTAAGTAAAAATGTTATTTATAGTATGGCTGAGTTAAACTCAGTCTCGAGGTTACTTCTTTAGTGGCTGAGTTGAATTTGAAGTGCGGTTCACTATTTTAGTGGCCAGTGATATGACTACATATACTTATGAACGGTTGAGTAGGTTAGGAAGGAGAATACATAGCTTGAAAGTAAAGCAAAGCGAAGCGAAGTGAAGCGGAGAAGGTTGGGCGAGCCAACTACACTTCATTTCGCTCTGTTTGTAACTTGTAAACTTTAACTCATCCAACCGTACCTGTATTTAGCGTCTAATTACCGTTGAATGGGGTTCGTCTAAGTATGATATACGAAAACTTAAAGAGAGATTTATTTCCTAGCATACTTAAACTTCATAGATAAAGGGGTCAGCTCAAGGGCCAGTAAAGCAATGAGCCCTGCATCGAATTCATCGCAGCCATAACAGTTTGAATTGGGATCAATAAGAAATGGCAATTGTTTGATAAGTTGGACATCGACTTATTTTACATTTTAACAAACAATAAATGATTTTGATAATTTTAAATTTTGATTTGTTGTTCATTTGAATTAAAATCAACATGAAAATAATATTTTCCAACTGAAATTTTGTTAGCCATATTTTGCCGATTCTGTATCAACTAGTGTTATAATGGCCTATCTTGAGACAATCCTCATTGTATGCGCTTATATGTCAACTACAATTGAACAAATTGTCGTCAAATATATCAACAATGTGGTCATTCAAACACATTCAAAGTTGAATTTAATTCTTATACGCATTGCAAAAGTGAATGACTATTTGGACTTAGTAGTAATGTGGATAAAGCGATGACATTTGAAGTAAACGGTACTGGGTTTCGAGTCCTGGAAGGGAGGAATATCAACTCTGGAATGTAGTGGTTGGTGTCTAGCTTACAAGTTTCAAAAACGAGAAGAATGGCGCACTCAAGATTCCGCTGATATACATATTTCATTTATTTAATGCCAAAGAATTTTATATGGTTGATAAGTAGCCTAATGAGAGGTGAAAATGTGTGGAATCGCAGAGAAGTTTTAGTTTTAATACTATCCAGTTAATGAATATTTAGAAGAATTTGTATAAACAATCATTAATAGTTTGTCAATGTTTATAAGACATTCTTTGTTACTGATTGATAAACTTATAAGTAATGGCTTCTTGTTTTTTCCTAAGGTGAGAACAGAAGTAGGGTGTACAAACCATAAATGAAGGTATCTTCAAAGTTTCTCAGCTTAATATGGAAGTAGATAAGGGTTGTCGAACATCAATCATAACACCATTATAAACCAGGAAGAATTGAACGACTATTTTAATCTTGTATGATACTCATCAGCAGTGTGCGTCTACAACTCCAGTGACTTACAGAAATCGGAACCAGGACCTTCGCTCTTGCGCGCAAACACCTAACCTTTGTGAATGAAGTAGCAAAACACAGTAAATTTATCGAAGTTAGACATCGATACCGTTGGATGCCAACTCAGTAGTTCAGAGGTTAGCCATCCTAGGTTCGATTCCTACGAGTAGCAAGAGTTGTGGATGCTCACTGTTAGTATGTCCCATACCAGGACAAAACGGGTTTCTAGTGCTTCCAGTCTTTTTAATGGTGGTCTAAAAATGACTAATTCATGATTTTAGAGTAACTCAACAAACTACATGACCCTATAATAAGAATATGATTAGGCAGATTTGTAACTCACTGAAATGTCAGTCATCGATTGTAGAAATCATATCTGTCGTCTACTTTTGTGTGATTCTTACAAATTCTTGCTACTTATTAAACTTATTCATTTTTTCATATTAATGACAACATTGTTAATGTCTAACTCTGATTGATCTAAGGATTTTTGCGTGACCTCACCGATTTGTCTTTGGGTTCGAATCCTGCGAGGAGCAGTAGTCGTGGATGCGCACTGCCGAGGAGTCCCATACTAGGACGGAACGACCGTCTAGTGCTTCCAGGTTTCTAATGGTGGTCTGACAATGATTGATTGATGATTTCAAACCTGCTAATTATATCAAAAAGTCTTGATAAGGCGTGGAAAGTATATTCTACAAGCACCCAGAAAATATGAGGTTCACAATCTCATACAAATCGAGTTTATTTACACATGATTGAAACGTCCTTGGTGAGAATCATAAAAATATCGTACTAAAATAATACATTAACCAATAACAGCCAAAGATTTTCCGAGTGGGGAATGTAGCCGCAAAGTCGACTAAGCAGCCCAGGCGCGAAAACACTAAAAGTCAAATTTTAGGATCTAACGTCCCCAGCAATGTTGATTCATAATTTCAAAACAAGAAAAACAATACATTTTCTAACTAACTCACCTTGTGCACCAGCCATTAAACATTTCAGACCAGTTACCCAAATATTTGCTTCTTCTGGACTAGTAGCTAAAATTTCTAATACAGTAAAATCTGCCCCATAACATATTGTAAATGTACATGAACTAAGATTTAACATCAAGGAGTTGAGTGATGTAGAAGAATTTTGTATTTGTGTAGTTGAATTATTTGTAGAGCCGATAGTGAATGAATTGGACTGATTGAATGAATGAGATTTTGATGACGATGAGGATGATGTTGTTGTTGTTTGTTGATTCAGTGATGTCGATGAGAGTAAATTGGTTGCTAATAAATGATGTGATAATGTTGGTGTCATACTAAGTGGTCGACGTCGTCGTGTAAGTGAATGTGTTGTTCTTGATGAACAACCTAATTGAACTTCATGAATTTCTTCAATATCAACTGTGTTGTAGAAAAAGAAAAAAGACGTTTTAAACAATATAATGTATAGTTAGTAGTCATATTATGTTGTCAAATGTTATGTTATGTTATTTTCTATGTTCTGGATTATAACTGTATGATGAAAAATGGAGATAGATATATATAAGAAGAATAAATGGTGATTGTATAGAACTGGGAAAGAAGGTTCAAGATAGAATGAGTTGGAGAATGCTGGTCGGCAGTCTAGGCTACACTGGGGGGTAACAAGCGTAAGTAAGACGCATGATTAATCCAAAGAGATAGATGTTTGTAATATTCGAACATGATGTTAGGTAATGTTTGAAACATGGTAAATACAATAAAGTGACCACTTAACAAACCCATACATTTGTATTATGGTTTAAATCTTTACATTGATGTATGGGACTGTGGTTGATCAGTCTCTTTTTTTTTGGTATGTACCTCCTAATGCTGATAGCTTCAATATTGCCTTCCAATTACAAGCATTGGTAACAGAGATAGATAGTGGCTAACAAAGGAAAACACAATAAACGTTTTGTCCTATTTATGACTCGTCGGCTTGAAGAATCTGCATTGCAGAATTGATGTTTATTCTGAGACTTAAACCCAGTACCGTTGTCTTCAACATTTTTTTTGTCTGTACTCAGTAGCTGATGATGATTGTGATTAAAAGTACTATGCTTTAGTACTGGACTGAACTTTGATTCTAGGATATCGGTGTATTGAACGGACGAGTCCCAAATAAAACGAAAAGCGCATCTTGTATCTAATTGCTAGCCAATTTTCATCTTTCTTGCAGCAAACAACGTTGATAGTCTAAGCAATGTCGACTATTTGAGGTAAAACCAATTATTAAGTTTCGAAAACAACAATTCTGTGAGTATAAATTAAAACTTATTGATATTTTTTAGAGAAACATACTGATTCAATAAAATTCTGTGTTTCACTCAACCAAAATTACGTCAAAATGAATGATGACAAAAAAGTATTAATTTCATTATTTACTCAATTGTATATCCACGATAATTTCGTAAAATAAAATGTAGATGAATTTGTCTTCACCCGTGACTTCGGCTTAGTCGGTCAGTCAACGACAACATAGAACTTTGTATGTACGTACATCAATTCAAGTTGCTATAACACATGAGCACAGAAATGCAATTGTCACTTCAAATCCCATAGTGGTAAAGGTAGTAGATATATTAGCAGTAATCGGAAATTTTAGGCTTTGACGATATTATTCAAGAAGTAGAAACTAATGAAAGAAACTTAAAAGCCAACAATAGAGGTGATAAGGAACTCTGACGGTTAGGATTTGAGAGAACACAAAGAATGAATGCACCTGCACCATTGCAAACAGTTTTGAGCCATGTCATTCAAGGTCTCTAACCATCGGTTACTATCATCTCACGGGTCTCAACCAGATAGTCGACACCTATCAACATGACTCAGACCAGTTATTAGTAACTTCATGGAGTCTTGCCATGAATTCGCCTACGTTTGATTTGATTAAAAACTCACTTCGCTCGCACGTAACGTTATATTATGAGAGCAAGATACTGATAATCTGTTAGTCAGATACCATCAGCAACAACCTATAGTGGGAGAGAACAAACCAGGTTCCTCTAACTGAGTAAGAAATTAATAAAAAACGCTGGAGGTGGATAGGACATACATTGAGGAAATCGCCTAACTGCATCGCAAACCAAGCATTAGCTTGGAATTTGCAAAACAGAAAAAAATGAATAAGATCAAACAACACAACAGACATCAAAAGAATGATTAGTGACTGGATGGAATTGGAAAGGAAGGTTCACGAAAGAGTGGGTTGGAGAATGCTAATCGACAACCAATGCTCCGTTGGGAGTAGTAACAGGTGTACATAAGTAAGTAAGTAAGTAAGTATAAGAGTAAAATATTTTGCATTTCAATGTCTAAGAATATAAAAAAATCCTAATCAAATGTTTTTTAAACTTCAATGATTCCAATATTTTCGAAAATCAGAAATCGATAAAAACAGAAAGATTGATAGAAACTATTCCTTGGCTGGGAAAACCACAAAAAAAACATGTACTTTCATTTTACACTATTCTTTCATCTACTCTTCATAAATTACAGAAAATCAATAAAAAAAATTCCCGTTGACATTATAGTTATAAATGAACAATTAAAAAAATACTATTCAATGGTTTATGAGGTGTTCATAAATACTGATAATTAAACTTGATTAGTATTGGATCTCTGTTTGACTGACAAATATTTGCTCATTTTTTGTATTCAGTTACATTTTAATTGGCTTTAAGTCTCATTTTGTTAGTTGTAAGAAAATGTGACGTTAAGACAAGACAAATTCATGATAATCCAGTGTAGACATCTTGACAAACATTAGACTGATGAGAATGAACTCTTTTAGGTTATCAAAACGACAATTTTTAAAAAAAACATTTGTTTAGATTGAGTAACAAGAAAAAAAATGTAACTTTATTTAATTTAAGAAGAGAACTGCTGAAAAGTACGAAATTACATCTTCATTTGGAATAATCAGTTATAATATGTGGTCGTTTACAGTTGATCAGTGACTGAAACTTGCCAGGTTTTAGACAGATTAAGTTATTCTATTCTTCTCTAGTCATATGATCTAGTTAATTATTCGTTCATTAACTTGGATGTTTTCACTGCAGCTGTCACCTTGATGTGAGGGTCGGACCTGATGACTTGACCGAGCTATAATGGCTGGAACATATGGTTCCTGACAGATTAATTGCAGAACGGTGATACTACAAGCAGCTACTCAAGGTGTGAGGGCGAAGTCGTACTTCTGACTGTAGAAAGGTGCGACAGCAGTAAGGTGTGTCCCTCCGACAACCAGCATGTGCAGCGATGCTGCCTTCTTACAAGAAAGGAAGGGGTTAGAAAAGGTCGACCCTAAAAATGTCACAAATTACCTTACCTCATGGATTTCCGTCTCCAGTGGTAAGGCTTCTTGAAGATTGGAGCTAACAGGTTAAATACTTTCCATAGAAAGACCATGTATGATCGGCCTCATGCAGTTGTTGCTTGAACTCTGCGGTCAAGCTATCAGGTCTCTATGACCAATACTAACTTAACTTCCTTTTCAGGTTTCTCAAGAAACACCCTTCCATAGTGTGGGCAGCTAGGAAATGACATCCGCCGTCATACCCGTAACTTTCTGCAATGCTTACTTCGTTTATCGTATGACCAGTTTATTTTTGTCTGATCAATAGTTGTCAGTCACGCTTCATCAAACGATGCTGGCCCATTCGTCTTCTTTCCTTCGCTTTATTTCGCTTTGCTTTTCCACTTCCTTATGTCTGCCTGAATGAACGATTGCATAAAATAAACCTATCCAACCCTTAATCAGTATTTGGCTATTCATTATTGCCGTGACACAAAACAAAGTTAGTTTAAGTGTAATATACGAAAATTATATGGAAACTGTATTTGAATTGTTCGCTCAAATTGAAATGAAGGAAATCGATCAATGTTAGACAACTGCTATGAACCTGGAATCCCTGGATAGTCTAACTCATCTTCAGTACGTATCCACGACATTTGCATGCGTGAATCGAACCCAGGACCTTTAATCTCACATGTGAATGCCTAACACTTGAAAACCACTGTTTTTGTCTAATTTCAATCAATTCAAGCTATTACCTATTATATGTTATCTTCGGTTGAGCTCTACTGGTCGCGGTGTCTCACAAGAGCGTCAAGAATTTCTTTACGAATCTAGTCACAGGTTAGTGTATGATAACAGATTTGTGGAGATTGTAAACATTGCTGATGAAACCCAAACTAGGATGAAATAGTTGTACAGTGTATTAAGGTATCCAAAAGTAGTAGAACATAATTTCAACTAAATTTTTTATCATCAGCAGTTTTTTTTAAATAAATATTGCTAAACGATTAAAATTTTTTTCTAAATCAATACAATATAACCCGTTTTATCGCATTTAAATATACTGGTAAGTTTATAGTGTAGAATAGATTACTTATTATTCACAGTTATCACTAGATTTTTATTTAAAATTTCCCTAAATGTCATCTCGAAAAAATGTATTAACTGTATATATATATATAAATTTTTTGCCTGAATGCCCCTTTTCTTTATAGATTTTTTGATTCTGTGTTGTTTTATGTAACTGTTAGAATTGGTTATAGATAGGAAATGTAAGAAAATCGCTTGATTTGAATCCAAAGAGTAAATTCAGTGTACTTTGTAAATGGCTTTATTCAGTAGTATACGTTTAGTACAATATATAGCAAGCATTCTCAGCACAAACTATTTCAACAGGTTTATTTCACTGAAAAAAAAACAATCTAAAAATCGATAACTGACTACATATTTACACGAAATAAACCAATCAATAAATAAGGAAACAATTTGGAATTCGATTGAAATCTGTTTTTAAGTTAGAAGCATTGAATCTGTCAGTCAGTCAGTCAGTCAGTCAGTTGCAACGTAGAACTTCGTACGTAAGTGCATCAGTTCATGTCGCCATACCACATCAGCACAGAGATATAATTGTCAATTCAAATCCAATAGTAGAAGAGGTAGTAAAGGTATTAGAAGTAATCGGAGAGGTTAGAATTAGAATGAATGATGAATGAATGTGAGAAGAGTTAGTCGTGGAGATAAGAGAGGTACTAGGGGGTGTAGGAAGGATTTGATTTTGACCAATTTGGTCTCGCGTGCTGTTATGGGTATGAGGGCGGTTATCACATCCCGGCTGCACACACCGTGGAAGGTTGTTTCTTGAGGAACCTGAAAAGGAAGATAGATTAGTGTTGGTGCGTGACCGCAGAGCCCAGGGGACAACTGCTTGAGGCCGGTCACGCACGGCCTTTTTATGAAATGTTTTTTGAGGATTGGCTCCGTTCTTAAAGGCCCTTAGTGGGCACCCTTACCCAAGGAGACGGAAATCCGTGAGTTAGGGGAGGTGTGACATTTTTAGGGCCGACCTTTTCTAACCCTTCCT